TTGCATCTTGATTTATGCCTGTTACCAATTCACATCCTGATTTCCTTTTCTAATTATCCTCATTTATCATTTCTAACTTTCATTAGCCATTCAATTGAAAAACATGGTAGAGAGAGAGCAACTTTGTTTTTGTCCAGGTGGATGCTGCCATCACCCCCGAGGAGCGCCACCTGTCTAAGATGCAGCAGAATGGTTACGAGAACCCAACCTACAAGTTCTTTGAGCAGATGCAGAACTGAGGAGAATGTCACGTGTACACACACACACACACACACACACACATATACATATATAAACATGCACACAAATATCTCCTCCCACACATCATGCACCTCCCCTCCCCATCCGTCTAGTCCCACGTCTCCAGAAGGCAGTGTAGCTTAGATCACTGAGTGACTGAAAGAGTCGATTACCAACATGTGAAGTCACTGTAGCCAGGGTGTTCTTTCATACATGCTGGGTGGATACTGTGGCCAAGCCAGGTTGCACCACATTTGTTCACTTTATCAGAGCAAGGCCCCTTTTTTCTTAAAGAAAGGATTTTTATAGGTTATTCCATCTGTGATGTATGGGGAAAAGGCCTCACCCAGTGCATTGAGACCAACCCACCCATGGGGGAAAGAAGCGCACTCTCTCCACACTGATTTAGGGCCAGTGCATAGCTGGGGTTTTTTTTCCTGTTTTTGGCTTGGAACATTTTAGACCACTGATCAGCAAGATAAGAGGTACATGCTGACCTGGGCCTCATTTACAAAAGTTGGTTGCATGCACATGTATCAGTCACTTCAAATCATTCTTCAACATGTGGACATATTTGTTTCCATCATATTCTTTGTAATGAATATATAATGAAATATAGAGTTAAATTAAGCAATGTCATTTTTATAAATGAGGCCCAGTGCTTTGCTACCTACTGCACCACTACTGCATTCACTCCACAGTCTACACTGGAGTATAAGTGAGCCTCCTCTGCCTCCCCTCCTCCTCCATCCCTTTTGCCATCCCTTTTTTTGTATTCTTATGACAGCTGGGCTGTGTTAAATCACACAAGGCTCTAAAGGATATCTGAAGATGCTGATGATGACGGCAGTAATTATGTATTCTGAATGAGTTGTTTTTTTTTCTATAGTTTCCAGTTTTGTTTTTCAAAAAAGAATGAAAACTGAAAAAAATTCAACCAGTGTAAAGTCTTTTTTTTTCTTTTTTTTTTTTTTTTTAAATTGTGTGTAATGATAATGAGGTAATGCTGAAGTCTTAGCTGTTCCTGTGTAATGCATGACAACAGGATTTGGAAAAACAAGATCTTAAAGCTGCTCTTTCTTCAGATCCTTTCTCACATTTAGATTGTCATTCTCACAAGACTGTACATTGAGTATGTTCTCGTGATCATGTGACTTCAAACTGATGACTAATATATAAATCTAGATAAACGGGCTCTGCTTTGATATCATGCAAGATACACATTTAATACCCTTTTAAAAGAGTTTTTTGTTTTTTTTTTTTTTTTTTTTTTTTTTTTGGATTTGTGTATTTCATTTATTATTATTTTTAACCATGCTACATTCCTGAAGCTACAGGAGGCAGGCTAGCTTCGTCTCTGTTTGTATATTATTCACTGAAATATATTGTTAAAAAGCCTTATATACAAGGCCTCTCAGAAATCATCCCATGGAATTTTTGCTTTTGTGTTCAAATCATGCTACTGTGTTTTGGAAAAGGGCATGTTATGAGGGTCAAGGGAGCAGGAAGGAAAATGGAAAAATATAAGAAATCCAGCATGGGGGACAGCTTTGAAATCTCTGTGTTTTGTCATTTTCAGCCTGGTATTTTGCCCAGTTTGTAAGCTGTCTTTTTTTTATTTTTATATATATAATCATTTTGTCTTTCTGCTGATAGAACAGGTGAAGGGCTGAGAGAAGGAGGAAGAAGGAGGGCGAGGTAGAAAGGAAATGGTTTGCAGTCCTAGACAGTCTGTGTGTTTCTCCTTTCACCTTCCTCTCCCTTCAGGCATGCTGCTCACCTCTCTGCCATCAACACATGACTCGATAGAGGCAGTGCACTGTAGTCTGTATATAGATGACAGGCATTCACCATCAAGAGAGCTGAGATGGAGTCGGAGGCGGGGATGCGAAAGCAGGGATTAAATTGTAGTTGAAATGAACACCATCATAGGCAAGAATCCCCTGTTCATCTTCATACAGTCAGTTCATGTTAAAAGATAGTCACCATCTCAAAATGAATTTGAAGGACATACAGTCTGACCTCTCGCTCTGTTAATAAATTGTAATGGCAACTAAGAACTTTGAGGAAATGTACATATGGAGGCTGCAGTGGGATGGGCCTGTGGGTTTCAGATGGTGTTCATTAGAAGCCCAACAGAGGGCAGTAGAGTACAAGTGGAAGCAGGATTTTCTTTGTATCACTTTTCTGTGGGTTACATATTGATTTTGTTTCCACTGTGTAATATTGTGCAGGCCATTTGCATTGACTGGGAAAATGCTTTCTACACTGTATTCCATAATAAAGTTTTGAATGTACATACAGACACTGTTGTGTTTTTTCAGTTTGCAAACTTGAGGATGTACCATGTTTCTTCATGCATCCTAATTAGTCTTTGTTTGGTCTTCAGGCTTTTATTTTTCCCCTTCATGTCAGGAGGTCAGACTGGAGCTGATGGGGGATTCAATGTGTTGCCTCGGTACACAAAGGGCTTTCATCTTGCTAAAGGTTAAATTATTTTGCATTGCTCAGTGTTTTAGGAGGATCGTATCCACACTGCACATGATACGTTGTTAGTAAAGCTTATAATTGTGGAAGGAGACTGCAATAACTGGGTGAAAAATGACTAACTTGTACATTTTGTATAGCTATTTATGCCATTTGTTCTGGTAACATTAGTGGGAACTATATGGCCAAACTGAACTGAGTTGAAATTGGATAAAATAAGCTCATGTCTGGGAAAACTGAAATTATAGATAAAAATAAAATAGATGATGATCAGAGTCCTTGTATAATTTGCTATGTGTCTCCTCTCCAGTAGGTTGTCCCCTCTTTCACTTCACCTTTCTGCAGGT